TGTGGCAGTTTAGGAAGCAGAAATTACACCATACAGTTTATAGGCATATGCAATTAAATAGTACTTGAAACAAATCGGTCATGAAAATGCAAGTCACCCCTGATCAAGAGCTAAGATTATAATGTACAGACTGAGTGGGGGCAGGGTGAAGGGGAAATACTGGTCTTTAAGTAAATCGAACCTTTACGAGCAACTTGTAGGAAGTGAAATTCACTAAAATATGGTGGAGAAAGCAAAGAAGTGGGGCGCTGACACTCCCAGCCATAGAAGCCACATTTTGATGACACTTAGAATTTAATTTGAAATTGAGAACTGAAAGCACATGAGGTGTTGAAAAAAAGATGCACCAACAGAAGGCAGTGTCATGTGATAATCAATCGCAAGCCCAATATGCAAGAACATTAAAAGTTAATGTATGGAACTCCTATTGGTTAATCCCCAGACCTGTTCCTTTCTTTTTCTTGACCAGTAAATGCTCCAAACTTTTTATACATCGAATTACCATAAAACATAAAGCAAGCTAGCTTTCATTGACATTTAACCCTCCAATATGATGTGACAGCTTTGTGACATGCATGGCTCGGTAAAATTACAAAAGCAATGGCATGAAAAGGTGTTAAGAGGTTATATTATTACTTAGGATCCGCTTCAAAAAGTTATGAATTCCAATTCACTGCATTTCCAACTGCAGATATTGGTTATAAGCTCCCCAAGTGACTTACTTTAACTTTCCAATTAATAAGAGAACAGTAAACCTAGCATCTAATATGAAAAAGGTACGCCGGGCATACCCTTCACCTTCTTTCACGAGGGAGAATAGGAATCCAAATTTGGAAGATCAGATCCGGGCATAAACATTACTAACATTTCTAACATATTAAATCTATTCCATTTACCAATATTCTCCTAGTAATGGACCACTTTTTCAAGCCTCCATTTCTCTTGGTTAACAAGCAGAAAAATCCATAAACTTCAAATCTAATTTCTTTCAAGCCAGAAACTTTTCCCACTAATGTAAATTTTACAACCAGATGTCTCCTCCATCCCATAACCCAGCTAAGAAATCCTATTATCAACTCATATCATCAATTACCCAGAAACAGAAAACCGAGGATCACGTCAAATCTGCATGAAAACCCATCTCACCGCACCGTTAACAACCCAAATGAATACCAATATCATCAAACATAACCATCACCACCACAAACATATATTTCCCAACAGAATGCAAAACAACCATACAAAAATGAAAGCTTTATTGAGAATCAACACAGATCTGGAAGAAAAAGACTTACAGTTGAGGAAGACGAGGTTGAATCAAAGAGAAGGAAGTGATGGGGAAATTTTGGGTTTCCTTTGTAATCACCCTTCCCCCTTCTCCCTTCTTTTTCCTCCTGTTATGCTTGTTGTCTCCTTATGTCACGGCTTGAGAGCACTTTAAAAAGATGGACTTTTTGAGATTTTGGGTAGCTAGCCACACCGTTCACGCGTTAACTAGAACTAGAAATAGAAAATAGGGAGGAGAGAAGAATAGACGAGAATACGAGAAGGGTTGAGCTGTTTAGTTGAGGCCTTGGGACCTTCTTCTTGGCCCAGAATGATTGAGCCATTCAGGACGTCCAGCCGTCTAGGGGCCGTCAAGTCCATGCAAAACTGCACGATGTCCGGATTTGTTTGTTTGTTTGTTTTTTTTTTTTTCTTTTTTCTTTTATTTTTTTTTCAACTAAACCCTTAATATTAAAAAGGGCTTGAGTAATTCTCTTTCTCCCTTTTCTCTCCCTTCTCTCCTGCTTCTGCCTCCCTTCTCCGGTGCTGTGTTGGTTTTGTTCGGAAGACTTTGAGCTTTCGAGGTTTTGATGCTTGAGCTACCGTGCTTCCCAGCCGCTCAAGTATGTTGGAACCGCCCTGTGCTCCCTCCTCCAATGACCCTTCCAGGTCTGTCGGCTTTTGGGTCCCTTTTCGATGACCCCTTTTGGTTTTCTTGTTTTTTCTTGTTATTTTGTTTTGCTTTGTTTCTTGTATAGTTTATGTTTTTCAGATCAGGCGACCCTCGACTCTTTCTTGCAGATCTTGGTAGGTGCTCGTTGATTTTCCAGATCTGGCCACTATCGGAGTGGATCTCTGCTGCGATGTCCTGGAGATTTCGCGCCATCCTCTCTAGAGTAGATTGAAGGGTGTCCTATGGCTGGATCGGATGACCATAGGTTACTCAAGTGACTTCACCTCCCTTCTTCCTACGCATCGGGTCTACTCTGCTTTACTTCTCTAGTTTGTTCTTTTCTTTGTATGTTACCCTTATCCTTTTGGATAAGGTTTGGATGCATATGACGTATGGCAGTTTCCTAATGCATTGTTAATTACTTTTTCCTCAAAAAAAAAAAGCTTGAGTAATTTTAAAATCTACCTGTTGTGTTGAGTAAGAGTTGTTTTTTTATTTGTAAAATTTTAATTAAAAATTTGATTTTTTTTATTTAAACTAATAATTTATTAGTATCTATATTTGTTTAAGAATTTCATATTTCATTAGTTTCTCTTTCGCATTTTTTTTGATAAAAATAATAATTAGTAAGTTAATATTGTTAGATGTTAGCAATTAAGAATTTGATTCTCAGATCAGGTGAACAGTCCACCGATTTTAATGAGACGTGCGACTATTAGACTGCTTAATGGAGTTCCTCTTTCTCCTTATTATTCACAAGAGAAACACTAGAAGCAGGTTTTTGAAAACATTTTTCAGGTGTTAGACTCTCTATGTAATTAAGTCATGTGGATATAAAATTTATGTAATTGATGTTTATATAATTCAATAATTAAGTATTTTTTTA